TATTTTTTGAAAGTTAACTCTAAAACAGCCTCAGGCAGATCTTTCAGGAGGCATTAAGAAGGTATTATTATCATAGGAGATGACAGCTTCATGTATGTTACTGCCCCTCAAGACCTTCCAGTGGAACAAGATGTGGAGGTGGAAGACAGTGATATTGATAATTCTGACCCAGGGAAGGCCAAGGCTATAATGTGTTTGTGTCTTGTTTTTAACAAAAAAGTTTAAAGCATAAAATATAAAAATTAAAGATTGAAAAAAGCTTATAAAATATATAAAGAAAAATGCATAGCTATACAATTTTGTGTCTTTCACTAAGTGTTATTAAAAGAAGGTCAAAAACTTTAAAAAGCTAATTTTATAGAGTAAAAAGTTTATAGCCAGCTAAAGTTAATTTATTATTGAAGAAATAAAAGCATTTTAGAATAATTTAGTGTAGACAGTGTATAGTGTTGATATAATCTGCAGTTGTGTACAGTAATGTACACAACTTTCATGTTCACTCACCCCTCACTGACTCCCCCAGAGCAACTTCCATTCATATAAACTCCATTCATGGTAATTTGTATAAGATGTATAATTTTTGTTTTTATCTCTTGCACTGTATTTTTATTATACCTATTCTATGTTTAGATATTGTCAGATATACAAGTAATTTCTATTGTGTAACAATGGGTGACAGTATAAAGTATAGTAACAAGCTGTACAGATTTGTAGCCTAGGAGAAACAGGCTATACCATATAGCTGAGGTGTGCAGTGGGCTATACCATCTAAGTTTGCATAAGTGCACTCTATGATGTTTGCATAATGATAAAATTGCCTAACAATGCACTTTTCAGACCATATCCTCATTGTTGAGTGATGTATAATTGTGTCTTTTTTTTTCATCTGATAACTGAGATGGCTACAATGTAACCAATGGGCAGGTAGGGTATACAGCATAAATACACTGGACAATAAGATAATTCACGTCCCAAGAAGAATGGAGTGTGACTGCATGAGATTTCATTATGCTACTCAGAACAGTGTATCTTACGTATTGCTTAGGTTTTAAATTTTCCACTTAAAATTTTGATAATACAGTTGACCAAAGGTAACTGAGATCGCAATAGGGGGTCTCTCACCAAATTAAAAATAGAACTATCATACGATCCAGCAATCCCATAGCTGGGTATGGTAACAAAACAAATCAGTAAGTTGATATAATATTGACACATCAATTTTCATTGAATCATTATTAATAATATCTAAAATATGGAATCAACCAATGATCCATCCCATTGATGGATAACTGGAAAAAAAGAATATATATATATATTACATATAGTCATCCCTCCATATCTGTAGCGGGTTGGTTTCAGGATATTCATTTCAGTTTGCTGCAGGGGTGGGGCCCTCATGGAGAACCTCTGCTAGGGCAGTGTGGAAGGGAAATTTGGGGTTGGAGCCCCCATACAGAGTCCCCACTGGGGCACTGCTTAGTGGAGCTGTGAGAAGAAGACTACTGTGTTCAGATGCCAGAATGGTAGATCCACCATTCTGCTTGCACCGTGCACCTGAAAAAGCAGCAGTCGCTCAATGCCAATCTGTGAAAGCAACTGGAAGTAGGGTTGTAGCCTGCAAAGTCACAAGGGTGGAGCTGTTCAAAGTTGTGGAAGCCCACCTCTTGTACCAGCGTGACCTGGTTGTGAGACATGGAGTCAAAAAAAAAATCATTTTGGAACTTTAAGGTTTAATGTCTGCCCTATTGGGTTTTGGACTTGCATAAGTTTTGTGGCCCCTTTGTTTTGGCCAATTTCTCCCGTTTGGAGTTGGTATATTTTCCCAATGCCTGTACCCCTGTTGTATATAGGAATTGACAAACTTGCTTTTGATTTTGCATGCTCATAGGCAAAGGGACTTTGTCTCAGATGAGACCTTGGACTTAGAATTTTGGGTTAATACTAGAATGAGTTGAGACTTTTGGGGCCTGTTGGAAGGACATGATTGTGTTTTAAAATGTGAGGACATGATATTTGGGAGGGACAAAGGGAAGGAATGATATTGTTTGGCTGTGGCCCCACCCAAATATCATTTTGAATTATAGTTCCTATAATCCCTCTGTGTCATGATAGGGATGGGGAAGGTAATTGAATCATGAGGGTGATTACTCCCATGCTACATTAGTGATAGTAAGTTCTCATGAGGTCTGGTGGCTTTATAAAGGGCATCACCCTTCATTCATTTATTATTATTCTCTCTTCTACTGCCTTGTGAAAAAGGATGTGTTTGCTTCCTGTTCTGTCAAGAATGTAAGTTTCTCGAGGCATCTCCAGCCCTGCAGAATTGTGAGTCAATTAAACCCCTTCCTTTTATAAATCACCCAGTCTCAGACATGTCCTTATAGCAGTGTGAGAATGGACTAATACACTGACTAAAGCTAATAATGCTACAATTTTCAAGTCAATTTTAAGTGTTGTCATTACAAATACATAAGTCTATGGGGTGATACATGTTAATTAGCTTGACATTAGCCACTCTACAATGTGTGTATATTTTAAAACATCACATTATACATAACAAATATATACAACTTTTATTATTTAATCAAATATTGAAGAAGAAAGAATTAGGTTGGTACAAACGTAATGAAAGTTTTTGCCATTAAAAGTTAGTAATTGTGGTTTTTGCCAAAGAAAGAAAGAGAAAACTCTTGAGTCAAACATCTCATGGTGGTTTGATGGAAGAAGCATTAATTATTTTCTACCTTTGTAGAAACTCCTGGTAGATCTAAGGCCTAAATAGCTCTGTAAATTTTGTAGTAAATGCTCTTTGCTGAAGTGTGTACAAGTACTGAGTCAAGAAGTGTTGGGTATAAATGGGCAGAAGTTGCCATGAAAGATGTAAGAGGAAGATTTACAGAAAGAATAAAAAATTACATTCTTAGCGGATGTTCTGTTGATGGCTTGTAATAGTCTCCTAGGAGGTTTACCTTGCATGTCTGGTATCTTCAGAACAAATAGCCTTAGCTTGCACTGACCTTGATATCGTTATGAATTATTTTAACAGGGTGAAACTTGGAAAAACATCTCTAATGTATTAGATACCTTCTTGCTAAATGCAGCTCTGGAATAAAGGTCTTCTCTATCTGTCTGTTTACTGTGTGCTGGAGACATGCCAGGTTATAGGAGCCAGCCAACATAAATATGTAGATCATTCTGCCTTTGAATAAGTGGATATCCAAGTTTGGAATTCTTTTCCATTAATATTTGCAATAGCCTGTAAATTTTACAAGGATGAGATGCAGAAAGTTATTTAAATATTTGAGGTAATGTTGTATATGGAACGAGTAAAGAGAACTTCTTGGGGTAGACATACTTCAAAAGATAATGACATCAAGTAATTATACTAGATCCAGCAAGGTATCCATTGGTTTTGAACCTGATTTGGTTATTTGATTAGCAGATGGCTTTGGAAAAAACAATTTATAGTGTCTCCCCTCCTAGTTTATAAATTCAGGAAGTTGTCCTAAATGACCAAATAGGTTCCTTTCAGCTTTAAAATTCCATGAGTCAACAACTGCAAATGGAAGTAAGACACCTGAAACAGTAACTAGGCAAAATTTAGAAAGCATAATTCCTTTAAAAATTGTGACACGAGAATGAATGTATAGTAGTTTGTGCTAAGAAACACAGGGTGGGGATCTGTGCTACCTAAAGAGGGGCAGGGCAATAAATAATTGGCAGGGCAAAGCAAATTTATGACTTCATAAATAACGTCTTTCTGGCATTCAGAAAGATAATAAGCAAACAAGTTTATTTTGTCTGTACATACAAAGATGTGCATGTCATTGCGTGAATATATAGTTTATCTGCTGGCTCACCTAGACTATGGCTGAGCTGTAGTTTTTCCTTTCTAGCCATACAGGACAGATTCATGAACTGGTGGATGAGGTAGGATCTGAGGGACAAAAATAATTTACTTCTTACACAAAATGATTCTCTCTGAATTCTTTCTTTCTCTTTTTTTTTTTTTTTTTTTTTTTTTTTTTTTTTTTTTTTTTTTTTTTTTTTTTTTTTTTTTTNTTTGAGACGGAATCTTGCTCTGTCGCCAGGCTGGAGTGCAGTGGCGCAATCTTGGCTCACTGCAACCTCCGCCTCCTGGATTCAAGCGATTCTTCCTCCTCAGCCTCTCGAGTAGCCGGGACCACGGGTGTACGCCACCATGCCCGGCTAATTTTTTTGTATTTTTAGTGGAGACAGGGTTTCACCATATTGTCCAGGATGATCTCAATCTCTTGACCTGGTGATCTGCCCACCTCAGCCTCCCACAGCACTGGGATTACAGGCGTGAGCCACCACGCCCGGCCCCCTCTGTGAATTCTTACTATGTGAATGCATTGAAGACTTCCACAATGCATTTTATCTGTCATTGCAATAACATATCAACCTCGTTTCACAAATGTGATTATCACATCAGGATGGCCAAGGATACTGAAGGGCTGAGATATAGGGTAGGGGCATAATGACGAGTGAGAAGAGAATAAAGAGTTTCTGCTTCTGAGAATGCCCATTTAAAGACTAAGAGAAAAGCTCAGTGGTGTTGTTAAGAATACCAGGCATAGCAGGAGCATTGACAGCACAAGGGATTGGTCTGATGTGAGACACAGGGTATCAAAAAAAAAAAAAAAAAAAAAAAAAAGGAAGGCAAACATCATATGATGCAAACTTCATGAACTGAAAGCATCCACTTCCTGTAGGGGAAATGTCCGTATATCTTCCCTTCAATTCTTAGAGTCCTCATTTACTCATATTTTCTCCTTAAAACAGTTTGATTATCTTATTTCCACCAAGGAGATCAAAATGAAAGGATGATGCTAGTAAAAGATACAATAATAACTGTTAGAAGTGGCTCTTAGTATAGTTATTGAAAAAAAGAAGGCAAAACTGTTAGAACCAGACATGAAATCTTGGAAAGTCAGGTGGTCTGGACAACTTTCAGGGCTAAAGGGAGATGAGCCACCCGAGGGAGCGGCGCTGCCGGCCAAGAGCGCAGGCCCGGCCATGACCGACTTCAAATTGGGCATCGTGCGGCTCGGCCGGGTGGCCGGGAAGACCAAATACACACTGATCGACGAGCAGGACATCCCGCTGGTAGAGAGCTACTCCTTTGAGGCCCGAATGGAAGTGGATGCAGATGGAAATGGCGCTAAGATATTTGCCTATGCCTTTGACAAGAACCGAGGAAGGGGCTCTGGGAGACTCCTTCATGAGCTGCTGTGGGAGCGGCACCGGGGGGGCGTGGCCCCGGGCTTCCAGGTGGTGCACCTCAACGCCGTGACTGTGGACAATCGCCTGGATAACCTGCAGTTGGTGCCGTGGGGCTGGCGGCCCAAGGCCGAGGAGACCTCCAGCAAACAGAGGGAGCAAAGCTTGTACTGGCTTGCAATTCAGCAGCTGCCTACAGACCCCATAGAAGAGCAGTTTCCTGTCCTAAACGTGACCCGGTACTACAACGCCAACGGGGACGTGGTGGAGGAGGAGGAGAATTCCTGTACCTACTATGAGTGCCACTACCCGCCCTGCACGGTGATCGAGAAGCAGCTCCGGGAGTTCAACATCTGCGGGCGCTGCCAGGTGGCCCGGTACTGCGGCTCCCAGTGTCAGCAGAAGGACTGGCCGGCCCACAAGAAACACTGTCGGGAGAGGAAGCGTCCCTTCCAGCATGAGCTCGAGCCGGAGCGATGACGGGCGGGGCAGCCGCACACAGTCGCAGCCCCCGGGCTCTGCCCTGGGCACAGCAGAGACAAACTCGTGGTTGAACCTGGAGGTGCCGAAAAAGCCAGCTGCAGGCCCGGGACGGCCGCCGTGAGACTCCCGACGTTACAGGCAGCCTGTGTGGGCACAGCGCCCTCAGTGTTCATCCCCAGCAGGGACAGGAGGAGGCTCCACCGGGACGGTTCTCATTATTTATATGTTAATATGTTTGCAAACTCATGTACAGTTTTTTTGGGGGGGAGGCAAAGGGAAGGGTAGAAATTACAAATAGAATCTTTTGCTGTAATCCTTGAATGGCAAATGGTCAGGCCACGTGTCTAAAAACTGTCCTGTAGCTGCAGCTTCGCCCCACGGAGCGCGGCCTGCACGGGAGCTGTGTCCACAGAGGCAAAGTAAAGGGGTGGAATCGTAAAAAAAAAAAAATTATAATTTTTTTTATATTATAATTTTTTTTATATTATAATTTTGCCTTTCTTTTGTTTAAGATATTCTGCTGTGAGTAAATGTCAGGAACTCTTTTTCAAGGGTACTTGGCACTGCTCTTTCTTCTCCCTTTTCATTGACCTTCTAATGCTGCTGTGGAGAACCCAAAGCTTCCCCACTACCCACTACATCCTTAAGCTTGGAGTAGAGTGAAGCCAACTGAAAGGAAGATATGCCTTACTGTCCCACGGAGAGCCATCTGGTTATAGCTGACTCTATGCAATTAATTTCTGCCTACTTGTGAGGCAGAAATTAATTATGAGAAGATAATATATTATGAGAAGATAATAAACATTAACCAACTTAAAAAAGGTGTGTGAATGACCGAATCTTTACAGCATCAAGAGAGTCAAATCAGTAGAAAAGAACCATGGCATTGAATAGGAAAAATTTTGTTTTTTTACTTAACTGACAGAAATTAATCTGCAGTTTTGGATCTATTCAATCAGGCAAAGAATATTTATTGAGCACCTATTGCACTCACATAAAATTGCTTGGGAATGTAATATACTCTAACATCTTTTAATCTTTTATGCTAAGTTTTCTACAAAAAGAGCATGACCTGTCTAAATAAGCAGTGTAAATAAAGGTCATGTGAGAAATAAATTAACATGCATGACTGGAGTTTTAGGGGGAAAACAGCCAATTACAGATGAGTTAAATAGGAAATGATTCCTGGATATGCCGACATTTGAACTTGGCCTTGAAAAATTGCTAGTTATGGGAATAGAACATATTATATATTTCAATTATAACATACAACTTCTTAAGTTTTTGGCATTTAGTATTACCCAAATCCATGGGTACATGAATAATGAAAGTATACCTTTAACTCAGTAAATGTATTTCTATCTCCCATCAGCCTCAAAAAGCTACACTTAAGTTGATAAAATATTTAAACAAAAATTATATTTTATAACTGAGGAAACCTAATATGTTCATAGGGTGGCATCGTAGGGACATTGCAGAGTAAAAATGGAGTAGTAAAAATTTAAACATGTAAAAGGGGATTTGCTACAGGGATGGGTAACATATATATGATTTTCTTGCTGTGTGATGTAAGCCTAATCACCTAACCTGTCTGTGCTTTGGGTTAATTACCCATGAGATAGAGCTATAAAGAAGGAAAAACATTATTATAAAGAGTTTGGTTGATATTATAAAATTCTATATAAATGAGTACTAACTGTAAGAAAGTATGTTTAATTAGATATTGATTAAGTTATAGAGCCATATTTGAAGATTACTTTGCTTTATAGAAATTGCATCTCTATTTACACTTGGCTTCAATTTGCCTTGTGAACATACACATTGTTGTAACCATAAATAAAATAAAGAGATCTCACCAGGAGGATGAAGAATGGATTAGCTAGAAAGCCAAGGTAAAAGGTGTCAAGGCTCAGCCAAATGACAAAGTAAAGAATAACAGATTCAACCTTCCTCGAAATACCGAGAGTTACACAATGAATATGATGGCTCTTTCATTCTGGAGTCAGAAAGAATGGAGGGAGCAGGGCCACACTGTGATAAAACATCTATGGTTCTCACCTAATAGTGAGTCTATTCTGGGCTCTTTGAGATAGGGGAAAGGAAAATGCTAGCTGGGATTAATGTGAAGTTCTGTTGTCTCTAGCCAGGAATGACCAAGGATGCCTGTGTGAGTCACTAAAAGTAAATGGCACAATAAAGTCAGAAAAGGTGTGAACCGAAGTGGGTCATCATCTGAGATCCCTTCTCATCGAGAGGGCAGCCTGGTCCCTTACCTATTATGTTTGGTGCCCCTCTCTTACCACTTTTAATCTGCCTCCCACCATTCTGAAGTTACACGTGCAACTCTCTTAGCTGAATATGGCCATACTTTAAGATCGACTGTGTAGAACCCATGCCAGCTTATCTCACATTCACTGTTCTCTTTATTGCTTCAAACTAATAGTACATATTTTCTGCCCACTTAACTCTTAGTGTATTATCATGTGACATATTTATGTTGTTTTCTTATATTGTTACTTATATCACTAATACACCAGAAGCTTAAAATCATAGGGGAGGTAAAAGACCCCCAGAGGAAATAGAATATATCATATTCACTTTTATACTCTACAGGACACAAGGGAAAGGAGCATTTTATAAATATTTCTTCAAGGGTGAGAGAAAGAAGAAATAAACTAATATAATGTATTCTTCATCATGTAGCAGTGTGTTCAACCGCTGTGTGTCCTCAACTTCTGTGAGGGACTACATGAAAACAGTAAGGGAGGCTGTGCTCCCCAGCTCTGGTTACAGCCTGTGTTTCTGAACCATGAATCAGCACTTCATGTCATAGCTCTTTTAGTTATAACTTCCATAAGGAAGCTACAAGTATCCAAACACTATCTATATTAATGTCTAATAAATCTTACCTGTGAGCTTACTGATTGGGTATTGCAGTGCTTAAAATGTGCTCAGAAACAGAGGCCTGCTTTGGTATGCTTAACTTTGTGATTATTTCTACTTGATATATCTTCACATTGACTTTTTAAAAATAGCCTTATTATGCAGTTTTTTACTCATATAAAAATATTATATGTGTGTGTATGTGTATACATGTTCATATACACATTTACATATATATATTATACACGTATACTGACAATGTTGTATTTCTCCTGAGTCCTGTGATAGGTCCTGGAAAATAGGGAAGGTTAAGAAATACCCCCACCCTTTTGTGTAACAGAAAATAGCTCTATGCAAAGAGTCACCCTTCTTCATATGATTTAGGTAAGACTGATGGACAGTACACACACAGACACATACATCTGCATATATCAGATACACAAACACAGTCACACATACACATATATATACACACACACGTATACTGTAAATTCATATAATAAAAAAATAAAGGTTTAGAAAAACAGCTAATTCCTCAAAAATAATCATGTAATAATAAGGAGACATTTTGTGTTACATATGGAGATATGGAGGGAGAAATGCAGGAACCAAGGAGAAAGAGGAAGGTGAGAGAAAAGGTATGGATGAGAGAGTGCTGATTTTATTAATCTGGGTCCTTTTATATGCATGCAATTTTTAAAATGGAAAGTATTCAATCTCAATTTACATTAATCTAACCAATGAAAACAATATACAATTAAAATTGCAAGAATAACTGAATTTAAAAAACTTTTAAAAGATATAACTTTTCTAACAGATTCTGTGATGATTAAGAAAAATAGAGATTTGTAAATTTCGTGATTGAATTTATGGCAACATCAATTTGCTCAATATCTGGAAAGAAAAGGTCACTAACCTTCTCATTTCCAATTACACCTTCTCTCTCCCACTTTTACATATTAAGATGATATTTTTATTTTGATTATTTCATATGTATTAAGATTTAGAATAATTACTTTATAATTTTTTTAATTTTTCCATACATTATTGGGGTACAGGTGGTATTTTGTTACATAAGTAAGTTATTTAGTGGTGATTTGTGAAATTTTGGTGCACTCATCACCCGAGTAATCTACAGTGTACCAGATTTGCAGTCTTTTATCCCTCGCTCCCTCCCCAGTAGTGGGATTGCTGGATCAAATGATAGTTCTACTTTTAGTTCTTTAAGGAATCTCCACAATGTTTTTCATAGTGGCTGTACTAGTTAACATTCCCACTAGCAGTGTAGAAGTGTTCATGGATCACTGCATCCACACCAACATTACCGTTTTTTGATTTTTTGATTATGGCCACTCTTGCAGGAGTAAGGTGGTATCATATTGTGGTTTTGATTTGCATTTTCCTGGTCATTAGTGATATTGAGCAGTTTGTTGACCATTTGTATATCTTCTTTTGAGAATTGTCTATTCATGTCCTTAGCCCATTTTTTGATGGGATTGTTTTGGTTTTTCTTTCTTTC